TTTTGATCGAAATTTAAATGCAATAATACAATATTAGTTTCTACTTATGAACGATAGGTGGCTAGATTCTAAATACATATAGTAAATTTATCACTTTTATAACCGCGAAACTTCTAAAAATATTTACTTATTTGCTATTATTTATTTTTTTATATAAAGTTAAAAAATTTAATATATAACATATGAAAAATAATGAATTTTTTTTACGTTATTATAAAATAAATTATTTTAAAATTTAGAAATGAGATATATTTTAATTCAGAATGGTAATTTTATAAATTGGCTAAAAATTTCTTTTAATTAATATTGAAATTATTGAAATTGCTTTAAATTTTTAATTTTTTTTTTTAATTATATATATTATAATTAATAATCATAAAATTTCAATAATCGTTTTAATAACATAACCATTATATTCTTATTACTTTAATTTTTATAAATATGTTTATCTTTATCATTATTATTATAAAATTTAATTTTATGACATAAAACTTTAATTTTATATTTATTTTACCTAAGATTCGTTCTTTGGCTCCCAGTAAAAGAGGTAAACGTCCATTATTATCCGATATATCCAACAATTTGACATTGTCTCCAGTTGTATCATCAGTTCATCAAGTAAAAAAAAAAATTTGCTGCAATGTCAAAAATGTAGAAATACCAGAATATAAAGCAGTTATTCTTTCAGCTAATGATGTACAAGTTACTCAAGAAGTAATTTCTGAACATGTAGGTATTATACTAAATAATAAGTCATTATATTTAACAAATATAATATAGTAATGTAGTATAAGTAGTAATTATAATTTGATTTATAGGAACAACGGATGAAAAAAATTCTTAATAAACCATTTAAAATACCAATTCCTGGTTATCAATTATCAGGTCGTGCATTGGGAATACGTTTATCTGGTCCTCGTAGACCTTTACATGATCCTGATGAAGCTAATGCACTTATTGTTTATTCACCTTCTGAATTATCTGAACATGAAAAATTAAAAATTGATTTGTTTGTATAAAATATTTTATTTATCTTTTAGTTATTAAATTTTATTGAAAATTTTTTATAATATATTTATATTTTAGATCTAAACAACTTGTACATGTAGTAGTAGATCCTCTATTATGTAATATTTTAAGACCTCATCAGCGAGAAGGTGTAAAATTTATGTATGAATGTGTAACAGGAAAACGGATTGAAGGTGCTTATGGATGTATTATGGCAGATGAAATGGGTCTTGGAAAAACTTTACAATGTATAACATTGTTGTGGACTTTATTAAAACAAGGTAAATTAATATTGTGTTTTGTATAATGTATAAAATTAAGATAATATTAGATAATATTATTTTGAAGGACCTGAAGCTAAACCACTTATAGACAAAGCTATTATTGTTGCTCCAAGTTCATTAGTTAAAAATTGGTATAATGAAATCTTTAAATGGTTGAAAAATAGAATTCAGCCACTAGCTATTGATGGTGGAAATAAAGCAGATATTGATACAAAACTTATTGGATTTATGAAAACTTATGGTCGTAAATGTGTAAATCCTATACTAATAATTAGTTATGAAACTTTTCGTTTACATGCACATATTCTTCATCAAGATGAAGTAGGACTCATATTATGTGATGAAGGTCATCGTCTAAAAAATTCTGAAAATCAAACATATCAAGCACTTATTAATTTAAAGGCTAAAAGAAGAGTATTACTCAGTGGAACACCTATTCAGAACGATCTCTTAGAATATTTTTCTCTTGTGCATTTTGTTAATCAAGGATTATTAGGAACAGCACAAGTATGTGAATTAATATTTTTGAAAGATTCAAAAGATTTTTCAAATATTTTTATATAAAAATAATACTTTTATTTCTAAGGAATTTCGAAAAAAATTCGAAATACCAATTTTACGTGGTCAAGATGCTGCTGCAACAGATGCAGAACATAAACTTGCTCAAGAACGTTTAAAAGAATTAATAACCATTGTGAATAAGTGTCTCATTAGACGTACTAGTGCATTACTTTCAAAATATTTACCTTTAAAATATGAATTAGTGGTGTGTATAAAAATGGGAAAAGTACAGACTGATCTTTATAAAAATTTTATACAAAGTGATAGTATTAAAAAATCAATGGAAGGTTTGTTATTGTAAAATTATTATTTCAAATAATTTTAAATTCTTAAAAAAAGTTTGTCTTTAAATAATATAACATTTTTTAAAATTTTTTTAAAATTTTCTTCTTTTCTAAATATATTCTTTATTTGTTTATCATAGAAAATCCTGATAATTGTAAAAAAGGAAAAAGAGAAAGTCTTTCTACACTTTCAGCAATTACACTTTTGAAAAAATTGTGTAATCATCCTGATTTAATATATGAAAAAATATTAGAAAAATCTGATGGATTTGAAAATGCTGCAAAATTAATGCCATCAAATTATAGCACAAAGTATGTAATTTTTTAATTTATTATATATATATATATATTATATATTATAATTATTTTTATCTTTATAATTTTTTATTTATTTCTAGAGAAATTCTACCAGAATTATCTGGAAAATTAATGGTATTAGATTGTCTTTTGGCATCTATTAAAACAACAACAAATGATAAAATTGTATTGGTATCTAATTATACACAAACTCTTGATCTGTTTGAGAAATTATGTTATAAACGTTGTTATAATTATGTTCGATTAGATGGCACTATGACTATCAAAAAAAGATCAAAAGTGGTAGAAAGATTTAATGATTCAAATAGCAATGATTTTATTTTCATGCTCAGTTCTAAAGCTGGAGGTTGTGGATTAAATCTTATAGGTGCAAATCGTCTTGTCATGTTCGATCCTGATTGGAATCCCGCAAATGATGATCAAGCTATGGCCAGAGTTTGGAGAGATGGTCAGAAAAAACCTTGTTTTGTATATCGATTTCTTTGTGTATGTAAAAAGTGTCATTATTTCTTATAAATTATTTCTTATAAATTGATATTCCCTGTATTATTACTTAAATATGTTATAGACTGGTACTATCGAAGAAAAAATTTTTCAAAGACAAGCACATAAAAAAGCATTAAGTTCAACAGTTGTAGATCAAGAAGAAGATGTTGCAAGACATTTTACCTTAAATGATTTAAGAGATTTATTTAAATTAGAGGAAAATACTATATCAGATACTCACGATAAGTAAGCTTACGATTATTACTTTTATCATAAGAAAAATCATTAAAATAATGTTTATTGTCATTTTTTAGATTTAAATGTAAAAGATGTATTAATGGTATAGAAGTAAAAGGGCCACCGGAGCAATCAGATTGTAATTCAGATTTATCAGATTGGAGACACGTTCATAATCCGCGAAATTTACCAGATATACCATTACGGCAATGCTGGTTAAGCGGAATTTCATTTGTTTTCTATCATCGATCGCACGAACAAATTAAATAAAATTATAATTTTTATGAATATTTGCATATAACATAATTAAGAGAATAACATTTTTTATACTGCTACTTTTTATAAAAGTTATTACATTCATTTAAGTTTGTATACATTCATTAACAAAATATATATATATGTTTAATGATAAAAATTAATGTTTATATTGAGATTATGTACAAATAAATAATTATAATATTATTATAAATATTGTATGAAATAGAAAAAAAAATAATTTAATAATATAAAATTCGTATAATTAATAAATATGTAAAATAAATGTGTTTATGAAAATTCATTATATTAAAATTTATAAATATATATAATATTATATAATATTTGATATTTAGCATTTGATATTTAGCATTTCAGTTATTAATATAATAGTCAAAATATGATTTTATTTTTATTTTTTTATTCAATTAATATATATTTAATATTTAATTCTAAGAGCTATTTTATTTATAGTTTATAATATTTAATTATTCAAATTAAGAATTATTTAAATTAAAAATATAAATTATGATCAGTAAACATATGAAACATAAGAAGTCTAAATATCAATCGTATATCAATTGAAAATATAATCTTTTTAAATAATTATATTTTCTATATATTTTTGTTTTAAAATGAAAAAATTTATAAAATGTTAATAATAATTAAATATGAAAATTAAGACATAATGTTTTTAATATGAGTAATATATCTATAAGTTTGCTTTCAGATAAGTTGTGCGTAGAAAATCAAGGGTCAACGAAGGCTTTAGGAATTTGCTCCACATAACATAAGCAATAAAGAAAAGTGGGGAAGCAAAAGGAAATTAGAGTGGGGGAATACAAATAATGGAAGAGAGAGCACGTGATCATTGAATACGGTTTCTGATTGGTGAAAAGGAATCAGCGCTGCTTTCCCTCCCAGCTCGGTACCGTTCGCTCGCCCTTCTTCCGAGGTTTCGTGCAGCTGCCCGCTCAGAATAGTTCCAGATGTGGCCATGTTTAGTTTGATCTTTGAAGTTTTCGCTCATCGTCTCATAACTGATACATTTTTATACGATTTGCTGACATAGTAATACGCTCTGTCCGACCATCGTACTTTTCGCTTGCCTGCGACTAGTCTCGTTCATAACACATGTTCTTCTTTGCTGAGATAAATATCTAACGCGGAAGTACACGAAAGACGTAAACGCTGTCATCCATTCAGGAGAGACACGAATCGCGTCGAGTCCGTGCATTTAATTTTTTTAAAAATTCTATCGTCAATAACAGACGCGCGTCTGATTAACTCGCAGTTGTTTTTATTGGCAAAAAGCGAGATCAATCGTCGCTCCCTTTCTCTCTCTCTCTCCCAATAAATATTCAATCAAAAAAAGCACTATTATCAGATTACGGGACGGGAATCGTCAAAGTGGAAACTACGCCTTTATATATTCTACGAAACTTCGAGTCGTATTTTGGGGAAAACGCTTTTTCCTTTTCATCTTACGGATTAAAAATACACACTCGTATTTCTTTCTGAGCGCTGTTCTTATTTTAGCACTTTTTTTTTGTTACATTACGATCATTTAGAAAAAGAATTTAAGACGCCTACAAGCTTATCATTGGTCAGCCATATGCCACGTCAAGCCAAAATGACGTTGCAGTGGTAAGATCGCGTCATTTAACGAAATTTATAGCCAAGGAAAGAAAAGCCACAGTGAAATCTATTCTTCACCGAATCTAAAGTGCAATAATATCCCGGATAAAGCAAAGAATAAAAGAAATTTTATTTACAAAGTAGCCTGTTGTGTTCAGGCGAGAAGAATATTCGAGAGAAAAGGACAGACGTAACAAAGGCCGATAAAGACAGAAAACGTTAATAAAAACTGATATATTTGGTTGTACGCGCACGCGCGCAAGAGAGAAAGAGAAACGGAGAGACATACGAAATATATTCTCTAGGGCTAATTAGTGTCCAATAACGAGTATTTCAAAATTTCAAATGCTAGAATTCAGGCACGCGATTATTTTGCAAGCAAAGAGCCATCGAGTGTGGTCGCGTCAATCGATCGAATGATCATCGTCGGGCCACAGTGCTATATCATACGGTACAAAACACGATCGATCGGGACAAAACAATGGCATTAGAGAGTGTTTCCGCGGCTGAGACTCTAATCCAAAGGTTTGCCTCCACATTTTTTATTCACCAACAAAACAGTCGAAATTTTATGACTGTTCGTACCACTCACGTTACACGTTGATCCCCTCTCCGGAAGCTCCGTGCTGTCCCCCGCTTTCGTTTGGTATATACCATTGGCATATACCACTGTGAGAAAAAATAAACTCATTACTCTGTTCAGATATACATAACTTATTTTTTTTCTCTCGTGTCTCTTTTTATGGTTCTTCATTGCTCTTAAACTATCTATTGTGGTATTATAAGATCGTTATTGAATATCAAATACTTTGGCATCATTCGTAAGGCCAAGGTCATTTTTATGATGAAAAAATTGTTTGAGATATTCAAATATAAAATAATAAAAAAATTGATTTAAATTTTTTATATTTACAAAATAAAAAATATTCTGTATAATAGATATTAATTATTTATGTAGATAAACGATTTAGATAAAATTTAAAATAGATACAAAAGTTCAAATTTTATAATTCATGAATATAAATATTGTTATTTATATTTCCATATTATATCTATAACAATTAAAATCTAATAATATATATTTTTACGAGCATTGAAGAATTAAAAATAAAATATTGATATAAAATTATTTCGGAAATCAAAGATTATGTAAGGAAAAAATATGCACGTGATCTTCAGGGAGAAAGAGGTATACATAATATATTTTCCGGTTCGAATACGAAATATTTATGAGCACATGTGAGACTAAATTCAAACACAGCGTACATATAGATGTGCGTCATGTATATACATATTTTAAATATGCATACACATGTGTATTCTATATACATGTGTACTTAATACACGTGAATGAACGAGACAAACGAGGTCTACACGCGAAGAAATTCTGACACAATATCGAAAAATGTTACATGCACTGTTGGCAATGCTGTAACGATGACTATGAGATATGCTGAAAAATGTGATGTTATATATTGATTTCTGATATTCATGCTATTACATTGATAATGAATTATGATAATGATAATGATGCTAATAATGAACACAATTTGTGGGTAAGGAAATTCCAATTTACTATTTTCCTTCGTGATATGAAAATGATGCGTTTAGTGTGCTAAGTTAACAACCTTTAGCATTTATAATTTGCAAATTACTCAATTTCTCATTATATTCGTATATTTATTTTAAATATGAATATGCTTAATTTAATATGGGATTTTCTTTCTCTACATAGTACTTTAATGTTTTCATATATTATAATTTAACATACAAATTATTATACGTATTTAAAAATATACTCTTTTTCTAATAAATCGCAGATAGCAGCCATTAAAGAAACGATTTTTTTTTATTTTTTAATCATATGTTACGTTAACTATATATTCCAAAGTTGCATCAATCGATGCTTGCGATATTACAACGTATCGTTAGTCAACTCCCAAAGCAGCTAATGTTTTCAGGTCAACTAGTAGCGGAAGCTTCTTTCAGCTATACTCTGCTCGACCAAAGTTCGATGTTTCTTTATTCGACATATAACATGTGATATATTTAATGACCATTGCTGTTAATATCTTTAACAGTTTTTATGAGCTTAATCTTGCTATGCTATATTTAGCAATTTTTCGTTTCATTCTATCAAAGAAATGTATTTTGCATTTCTTTTTAATTATTTATGGATGATGATGATGATGATGATGATGATGATGATGATGATGATAATGATAATGATGATGATAATGATGATGATGATGATGATGATGACGATGATGACAATGATGACGATGATGACAATGATGAC